TTTTTTTTTTTTTTTGCGGAACCAGGGATTGAACTTAGGCCCTTGCGCTTGCCAGGGAAGCACTTATTCTACTGAGCCATCTCCCCGGCCCCAGGGAGTAGTTTTATTGGTTCTTCAAAGAGCTTTTTTTTTTTTTTGGTGGAACCGGGGATTGAATTTATTAGTTCTTACAGTATGTATAGTATGTCAATATCTAATTTGGCTTTGACTGTTACTGTTGCTATGGCCAACGTGGCATAATTATTGCTATTAACTTTTTTTTACTGTATACCAATATCTGGTTTCTCTTTATGTTGTGAACAATACTGCAGTTTATTCCTGGAAAACTGAGTGCTGGGCCAGCTACACTGCATGCTCCCCCTCTCCAGATTAACAAAAGTAGGCAGATCTTGAGACAGAGGCAAAGGCTTATAGTTAGCTATGCTGAGTGCACCACTGGAACGCAGACACTAACTAAAGGGATATCTATGTTAGGAACAAGTTTTTCCGTGTAATTGACCCTCAATCCTGAGCTACACACACACACACACACACACACACACACACACACACACATGCACGCGTGCGCCCGTGCATAAAAACAAAGCAAGAAAATGTCTCCCAAAATTCAACTCCCCTTGATTATTTACTTTTCTCAAGTCTGAGACAAAATACCTCACAGGTAACCTGAAAGTTAAAGGACAAAAGATTTATTTCACAGGCTGGATGTAAAATTACACACCTCTAATCCCAGCGCTCAAGAGACTGAGGTAGGAGGATTGTTGTGAGTTTGAGATTAGCCTGAGCTATGAAGTGAGCTCAAGGCTAGCCTGAACTGCATAGTGAGACCCTGTCTCAAAAAGACAAAAAAAAAAAAAAAAAAAAAAAAAATTCAGTTCAATTCGTAGAGGCTTCAGTCCTTAGGCACCTGGCTGCAAGGCAGGATGGCATGGCAGAGGGGCAAGCAGAGGAAAAACAGTCCATGGCAGGGCAGGAAGAAGGTAGCAAGTAGCCACAGTCAACCTGCCTCTCTTTTATCCTATCCAGGCTAGCAGCCTTTGGGCAGTGCTATCCAGAACTATGCTAATTCCAATCAATGCACTAATAAAGTGCCATGTACCCTTAGTTCCAGTATCATACACTGTAGGTCCAGCCAACTCCAAAAAGCCCCAATTATGAGTGCATAAGGCTTTGGGGGGACATTAGATAAAAAACATAACACCCCCCAAAGCTCATCCATAGGGCATCAATGTGGAGGAAGTCAAAAGCTAAAGCTGATGAAAAAAAAAAAAAAAAAAAAGCTAAAGCTGAATTTATAGCGTTCAACACCCATATCAAGAAAAGAGAGCAAGTGGATATAAACAATGTAATGGTGAACCTCAAACTTACAGAAAAAGAAGAGCAGGCTAACCCGAAAGCTTGTACAGGGGAGGAAATGATAAAGATCTGAGTGGATATCATCACACTGGAGACTAAGAAAACAATCCAAAGAATCAATGAATCCAAGAGTTGGTTCTCTGAAAGACTGAATAAAATCAACAAGCCCTTATTTAAAAGAAAAGAAAAGAAAAAGGCGGAGAGGGAGTGTGGGGAGATGGCTCAGTAGAATAAGTGCTTGCCTGGCAAGCTCAATGGTCTGAGTTCAATCCCTGGTTCCACAAAAAAAAAAAAAAAAAAAAAAAGATTCAAATCCACACAATCAAGAATGAAAAGGGTTGTGGCAACCCACTCAGGTCCCCCTTCTGTCTCTCTCTGGACAGGAGCTTTCTTCCCCACCAACAAATATATTCTATTCTAAAAAAAAGAATGAAAAGGGTGAAATCACAATAGACCCTGCAGAAATCAAGATCATCTACACCTACTTGAAAAACTTGTATTCTAATATAGATGAAAAATACAGAAAAAAGTGGGCAGATTCCTAAATACATATGAATTACCAAAGTTGAATCAAAAAGACATACAAAAAATAAACCAATATCAATCAATGAAATTGAACATATAATTAAAAACCCTACAAAGAAAAGTCCAGGCCCCGGGGCTGAGGAGATAGCTCAGTGGTCTAAGCACCTGCCTGGCAAGCACAAGGACCCAAATTGATGCCTAGTTCCACATGTCATACTGGCCATGCCAGGACAAAACCGGCATGGTGGCACATACCTATAATCTCAGGGGTGGGGAGGCTGAGGCAGGAGGATCACTGTGAGTCCAAGCTGCATGCCTAGACCCTGTACCAAATGAATAAACAAAAGATTTTAAAAATAAAAGTAAAAAATTTATATATATATATATATATATATATATTTTTTTTTTTTTAAATCCTCAATAAGATACTGGCCAACAGAATGCAAATCATCAAGAAGATTATACACCATGATCAAGTGAGATGTATCCCAGGAATGCAGGGATGGTTCAACATATATAAGTCAATAATATAATATCATATTGGGCTGGCAAGATAGCTCAGTGGTCTAAAGTGTCTGCTTAGGCAAATTTAGGCAAGTGTAGGGGCCACAGATGAACCCCTGGCACTGCAACCCCCACTCCCAGGGTGGGCTGAGCTGGCCACAGAGGAAAAAAAAACATATTAACAGAGCCAAGGAAAAATAATATATTAATAGATGCATAAAAAGTTTTTGATAAAGCTTAGCACCCACTCATGATAAAAACCACAGAATGGGGGCTGGGA